AAAACCCCCCCCCCCCCCCCCCCCCTCCTCTCAGGGTCAGCGTCTCCTCATGTCTCCTTCCTCTGAGGAGGCTATTGACGTCTGTGCCCGATAGAAGAAGAAGTGTGATTTCGTTATCCCCACATCGGAGCTAGTGATAGCGAATGTGCGAGAGACGTGTTGGGCTTTGACCTATGAAATAGTCCTCAGAAAACATATGCATATACTCAGACGCACACATAGACCCGGGGTGGAGCCAACGGATGAGTCGATCTTAATATTTCACAGATGTATTTGCAACAACATCCCTGACTACTAACTGCCCCCTCAATATTTTTTAAGTCTATCATCTATTCTCAGATTGAACTTTTTGAAATCATAAACATAATTAGACCAAAAATTCCCATATCATTTATCTCACACGTAATTGATTAACTAAAAGCATTCATCATGTTTCCACTGCCAACTACCGACGACAAAACCTCCAATTAGTGTCTGAATTCTGTCAAGTTGAACGCACATGGACACATAAATGTATTGCTACAACTGTCCTTTAACACATGTTTGGCAGGACAAGTTTACTCTGTGCAGTTAGCATCATTAGTGGGATGAGAAAAAGCAGCACAACAGCAGAAACCATTATAACGAACTGGACTTTAACCTGTAAAGGTACATGTGGTGGCCCCTGGGAAATGCATGAGCACTACAGTCATTGTCTGTGGGCAGATTGTGGTACTGTCACAGTGTCAGAGCAATATGAGAAGTGTGTTGTATCCACTTAGAAATCATGTTGAATACCAATGGAGGTAACCGAGTAGATGAAATTCTCATTAACATCCCCTACAACTGATTGCTCAGCAGTTACGGTGGTGTTGCGGTGGGCAATGAGTGCGTCACGTGTTTGTTCCTTACGTGAGCAGTCGTCTCTGGACCTCCTCCCAGGCGTCCTGGCGGCTCTCGTCTGTGTACATACGAAACAGGATGCGCAGGCCACACGCCAGGCTGCTGGTCTCTTGCTTCAACAGGTTGGGCTTCGACTTTCCTTTGAAACCTTGAAAACACACACACACACACACACACACACACACACACGCACACAAACAAACAAACACACGCAGATGCTCACAGTTACAGTCACAGCCATTTAAAAAATAATGATGATCATTATTATTATGATCCCCAAACTGCCCCGAGGAGCCACAGTGATGGACACAGTGATGTCGTGCCCTACCTGCTTTCCACAGTAAGGTCCGCTGCTCATTGTTGGAGTTGAAGGCCTTGGCAAAGCCGTGCGACTCCAGCAGGCAGTCCAGCAGCTTAAAGAGCTGCTCTGAGGTCAGGTAGCGGTACATGCCCTGGTCCTGGGTCTCCACCGGGACGTCGGCTGCATACGAGGCATCCCGCTTCACAAAAGGCAAACGCAAGACAGCTTATTATCGTCTTTGAATCACATACACACTGAAATATAGAAACGGAGTCTTACGACCTCAGAGAAACAAGTGTGTGTACCTGAGCAGCAGCCAAGTTCTCAGCATCTTCTTTCCTACTGGTGGCAGGAAAAAACACCATGTTATCGATAGTCTGGATGAGCTCAAGCTGCACGACACACTTTATCAGCAACGCTGTGAATAAGCGCTGCTCCTGGATCTCTGTGGAGCATAAGAGGGAGACTTCAATCAGAACATTTACTCAGACGAACACACTAGCAGTCAGTCCTTGAGTACAGCGACAGGCTTACTTATCGGGGTCCTGCTCCTGGAGCCGTCCTCACACA